CAAAATACTCTTCCTCCACTCCTTAGGCATCTTTTTAGTTTTTAAAATAATATTAAAGAGTTTAGTAAACCAAGAAACTCCCAAATCTCCTAAATATTTCCACACTTCAATTGGGATATCATCAGGTCCTACAGACTTTCCACACTTGATTTTCTTTAAAGTCTCCTTAACTTATTTTTTACTAATGCGACAGTAAAAATGAGCTTTATTACCATTCACAATATTAAAATCAGTAAGGTCAATCATATTTTCAGAAACTTCATTAAAAAGTTTAACTCACCCACCTATGTTAAATATATTTTTCTAAGAAAAGTACTTTTTTTATTTTCATTTTTAATACATTTTACTTGAGTTAAATCTTTACTTTTTTTTCTCTTTGTTTGGCTACTTTATACATATATTTTTCATTGTCCTTAGTATCTAATATATTATAAAGATCAATAGAAGCATAATTTTTAACGTACATATTGTTCTTTTAAACTCCTTGCGGGTCGTTTAATATTTTTCTCAGTTCTCTAAGCGTCTACATTTAAACAAATTTTATAACAAAACTTATTATATTTTCTTTTCTTGCATATTATTAACCACCAAATATTTTTATTTATTAATTTTTTTTCTTTTGATTCTCCAAGCACATCTTTTGCTACTTATTTAATAATGTTTGTAACTTTATCACACATAACATTTGTTTCTTCATGAACATCCCAATTTTTGAAATCTTGAATTTTACTCAAGTAAAATGTATTAAAGATTTAAATATTTATAATACAAATTAAATTATTTGTTTATTAATTTTAATTATTATATTATTTGGTTAAAATAATTGAGGCTCATACACAATGGGTATTTAAGAGAGAGTACCAGACATATTGATGTTAAGCAAAATATTCATAAGAGTGGATGAGTCGATAGATCATGAATTCTCACCTAAAATGTCATCAAGAAAATGATCATACACGAAAATACCCACATGATGAGGCATGGATAATTAATAAATTATGCACCAAAATATGATGATAAACAAATTTTTACTGTAAGAATATGTTAAAGGGATAGCCAAATGTTTTTGAAGAATTGTTCTATTTTCATAGGCGTGAGGTGGTGGGGTAGAAGTACTATAGGCTCGTACACATCCTGTAGGAAAAAGGCAATAGCTTCCAGTGCTTCCGTTCAATAGCTGAAATAGGGAGCTGTAGCATGTGGCTTGGTGTAATGGCGTCAAGTACAGCGATTTGATTATAGATTTATAGTTTTGCGTCTAAGCTAGAAATAGGGAGTCACAATGCAGTTGAAGAAGGATGTTTTGTTGGCATTGGCATGCTGTAGTGCAATTGTAGATGCTAGGAATCTAGACGGGTAAATGAGCTTTAATGGACAGGCTATAGGAGTACCGGCTTGTAGTAGTAAAGACGACCGGCTAGGAGTTGCAGGTGCGCTTGATCGACTTTAGATGTTGAGAGTATAGACGGTTGAAACATGGCTAGTGGCTAGTTGTAGGGCAATCAGTGGTGAGAAGAAAACGGCCTACTTTAAATTTTGAGAACTTGAAATACTTGAATTTTGTTCAGATATACATACATACATACATACATCTATATATATATATATATAGATATATGTATGTATATTATATATATATATATATAGCCCAATTATATTAAATTAAAATTTTATCAAAATTCAACTCATTCAAAATTTAAATGTCATTTTTTAAATTAGTTTGCTACCCCAAAATTGATTAATCAAACTATGTAGACCCGACCAAACCTGCCCCAAACTCCGCTCAATCAATTTAATCAAGAAAGTGGTTCATAATCAAGGCACCCAATCAAACATAAATCTTGATTGCAACAACATGTAGCCGTGATGAAAATTTGATCACGATAAGACGTGCACGATCAAACAAACATAATGATTGCAATGAGATGCACAAGGTTGAATGTAAATCATGATTGTACGACACATGCATCCTCAAATGGAGAACGTGCTTGTGGATAGACGAACGTGATCAAACCAAAATTGTGATAATAGCAAGGAACATACGATCAAAGAGAGATTTTAATTACAAAGACATGCACAAGCAAATGGAGATTGACCATCTAATCAGCTCACTACAAGTATCGAGCTTGATATGGCTAAAATGGGTGATGAGTGCTTCAAAATTAATTTGAGCTAGGATCAATCCAATCAATACATGTGGAGTTTACACAAACATAATGAGTGCAAGACCCAATGAATGAGCGTCTGACAAAAGATCGATGCACACTAAGTCCACATAAACCACAAAATTGATCAGGATTTAAAAGATTTTACTCAACTCTCATCAAAGTTTTTTATGCATCTCATACAATACTTTGCCAACTCCACTTAGTGTGATATAGGCTTGTTGTTGTTGTTGTTGTATCTCATTCAATACTAGTTGGATACTTGTAATATATTTTGCACCAAGCAACAAAAATATTGAGTCCATTTTCTAACATTTTTACCTCATAACATTGGCCACATTGCTACCAACTATCCAGTGTAAGTATTAATAAAGTAATGTGGTGAATAATAAAAGTAAAGAATACAAAACACATATTTAAATGAAAAACGAGGAAATCACAGGCAAAGAGGAAGAAAATTCCCTACTTGATATAAAGTGGAGCACTTAGGGTTCGCTATTCGACTCTTTTCATACATAAGAAACTTGCTGGAAAAAAATACTAATAAAACTGACCCTAAGAATAAAAAGGTTTGGTACTGTGAGGGTTGCCTCCCTCAAACACCTCTGGAGATCATGAGCTATGCGATTGAGCCTTCAATCCATTTGCTACCACCACATATCCCCAAAAATTTTCCTCATAATTTTGGATGCACCAAGAACTTGTTGATCAAAACCCAACAAAAATTGGGTCATAAATGTCAAAGGTCGAAAAATTGGAGAATATAGAGAGAGATCACAAGGCATCAAATGCATTTGTCATGTTCTTCTCCCCCATCCTCAATAGAGTAGTTTAGGAGTTTAAAAAAGGAATCAGAAGTCTAGTTAATTTGATGATAACTGTATTTGTCTGCATAAATTAAGAAAGCATGGCCACTGCAATAAGAATTGAAAATTTTGTCCTTTTCCAAAGGAAAAATTATTGAGTCACGTACAAATATCCTTGCTTATGGTAAAAATTTAAAGCTAGCATTGCTCTTGCTGTTGCATTGAAACAAACACCTCCATAACAAAAATTTAAAGCTAGCATTGCTCTTGCTGTTGCATCGAAACAAACACCTCCATAACAAAAAAAAAAAAACAAAACCTACTGCCCAATGTATGCGCCACCCCAAATTTGAGGTCAAAAAAGAAGTTGATGCATAAAGTCTTCTCCTACATAATAGAGATGCTATTAAAATAATTCAAACTAGTCATCTATTTCCATGTCACAAAGGAGGCCGCATAAACATTTCTCCTAGGCCATCCCTCCAGAATAGATGATGAAAATTCTATATAAAAATAGCAAGAGATGAAGAGTTACGAAAACATTCCCACAAACAAAAGTAAAAGATTTTTCTGAAATTTTTAGCATACTTGAAAAGTCAATGGAATATATATAAGCCAATTTAAACTATGAGAAATGGAAATAGGCAAAACCTTAGCATACATGAAAAAGTAAAAAAGAAAGCATACCGCTTCCATCAGCTGTTTAACTTCCGATTCAGAAAGTTTGCTACCCAGTTTTGGTAGGCCAGCTTTCAGTTCTTCATAAGTTATTGTACCACTATTGTCAGTATCCATAGATTTGAACATTTCCTTCAAGCCCCTAATTTCTTCTTCAGATAAATTTTCCGCAATAACCTAGTAAAAGGTAATAAAGCATCATAAAAAGTAGCAATCCACTAAAAATAAATAAGAAAAACATGTAAATCAGCCAACAACCTTCAAAGCGACTTTTTTGAGCTTGTTCATAGCTCTAAATTGTTTCATTCTAGTTAACACTGTAATGTCAATCGGTTTATCAGATGCCTCTCCATCCACTCTAATCCATGGATGATCTACAATTATGTAGTACGAGTCAAAACAAGGAGATCAAGGGTTTAAAAGTGAAATAAAAATTGAGAAGAAAGACAGCATTAATCAATGTTTTGCCATCTATTAGACAGGAAAATATTCTTCCCAGAAATTCACTACTGAAATAGCAGACCCTTCATTTGCTCAGAATAACCTATGAAACAGAAGCAACTCTTGAAACTAGCATTATGCAAGGAAAAAAAGGACCGGTATGATAAATTTGTAATAAATTGTTCGCATAACATAGGGATTCATATGTACTGAAATGCCTCTTATGTAGAGATTAGCTTAAACATCATGCTTAGCAGCATCCAGATATGAAAAGTTACCTATACTTATGACAACAGTGCATAAAAAATATTATAGAATCAACTGATCAATAAAGTGAAAAACAATTTACTCAAAACTTCAACTGCAGTTAGCCGCTCTTTTGGATCATGCCTAAGCATTTTTTTCACAAGTTCTTTTGCGCTACTAGAAATGGAAGGCCACGGATCCGAAGAGAAATCAAGATGCCCTCGTAAAATTTCATCAAATATGCCCCGTTCATTCTCTGAAGAAAAAAAAAAAAGAAAACTCCAAATTGGGCAATACAAATTCTCCTGACACTATTTTAATTTAGTTGGTTGTAACTCATACTAACCTCCCCAAAATGGCGGAACTCCAGAAAGAAGGATGTAGAGCATCACTCCAGCACTCCATATGTCAGCTTCTAGCCCATAATTCCGTTGCAAGACTTCAGGAGCTACATAATATGCACTTCCAACAAGGTCCCTGAACTTTTCTCCTGCATGATCATGACAATTTATATAAATTTGAGAGATAACAAGACTGATGGAAAATATTCCCACTCATGAGAAAGAAAACATATGAACTGCATGTTAACTAGCAGTAAAAAAGATTAGTTAGATGTTCTTCCTCCTTACAAGTCTTTGTTTATTGAGACACAACCTGCAAGTCTTTTATATATATTTTTTTCCTTATTTTCCAGACAATTATTCATGCTACATGTAAAAGATGTTTAGCAGAAAAAAAAAACCTAGGAACTAAACTATATCAAGAGTATGCATAGGAACTGCTCCTAATATTTTACCAATGATGTTGCTAACGGAAACAAAAAATTTATATAGTTGCAACAAATGACTGTACACTTGGATCTTACCACACAAAATTTTTGAAATATGAATTTCAACAAGTTAACAAACCAAAGGTGAAATTCTGGCATGTATAATTCTCATGGAGCACCACATATCAGTTTTAGAGTGACACTCTAACCCGCCTATGAAAGTTTAGCCATAAATCTGCGTGCTGTTTTTCTTATTTTTTAAACTAATGAATGAATGAAATCTTTAAGAGCCCCTAATGCACCAGCAGAGGCGTAAGCTTAAGTCTGCCAGCTATGTCCTTCCTAGTTTTAAGTCTGATTGGAAAAAATTTTCCATCTATCCCAACTATTTTAAATTCTCAGCCACCTTCTCAACTGAAGAAAGCAAACGAAGATTCACTATGTCACTTTTACGGTTCAAACATTTCTTCTATGGCAGATTTAAGTTTGAAATCTTGCAGAACTACGGGTCAGAAAAGCAAATCGTAGAAGTGAGAAATACTGAAATCAAAATCATATTTAGACTCAAATCAAAATCATATTTAGACTCACGTAAAACAAAAATTATACAGCAATGCAAATTGATTATGACAAAGAGAAAAAAAGCCAGCAAAATATATGTTCATATAAGCAGTAAAATAAAGTCATTCAAAATTGTTCAAATAACCGGTATTTCCTCAAGGCGTGATAAGGTTGATTGCAACAAGTGCTATTTGAAAATGCTTATTAGAAACTAAACTCTATATGCGACAAAAGGACCTGAAGCACTAAAAGACTAGGTATGGGTTTTATTACAGTTTGATCGATTATCTAGGATAGGGCAAGAATGCCTTTTTTAATCCCTGCAATGCAAAGAGATAATCCTCACAAAAAAAGGATATGGATCAAGAAGCAGCAAGGCTCCAGCAGGTTATTTGAGTGCCTCTAATACCAGCTAGTATAATGGTTCTATTTAATTTCCTTAAAATATCAATTTTGTAGAATCGGTTATACATTACTTTAAAGGCTTCATATTGTAAACACCTAAAAATAATTGTTTACTGATACAATCAATAAAACCATGGGATGCATAAACTTTTTTTTAGGAAAAACTGAGGGCCATGCTAATGCGGGAGCAATGAAACAGTAGCGGGATCACGAAACCGCAATCCCGGTAACGGCTTTCTGTGATGCCATGGAAACGGGGCCTCCTGCCATCATGGGAGACCAAACGGGCAAGTTCCCATCTGGTTCACAATTTTTACAGCAACATTGCCATTTTTTATTTATTTCCTATTTCCTTCTTTCTTATTTCCTTATCTTTTAATTTCTTATTTCCTATTTCTTTATTTTTCCTAATTTTAAATTAGGTTATCTTTTATCATGGGAATTTTATATATGGTATAGTAGGCTGTTTTGATTTTCAGTTTTCTGATTTTATGGATTGAGAGACGTGGATTTTACTCTTCGGAGTGTTGTATCCTCTTTCTTTTGCAAGTGGTGTATCTTATGAATTGAGAGATGTTTCTCTAAATTTTTCTTTCCAGAGTATTGTATCATCTTTCTTTTGCAAGTGGTGTATAATATCTTACTTAGGAACAGATAGTAGAATTGTCTCACAGTTCGTACTTCGCCGTACCAATTTGACGGCTGCCATCAGTCCCGACAGCAGCCAAACTGCTCGAATTTGCTGTCTCATAGCAGATGTCATTGTTTATCTCCTTCCAAACGTTGCTAACCTCGCATTCATCCTTCCATTGCTAGTCCACAACCGCCTCCCTGTGGAATTTACTCTCAAAATACCTTCTAGGAGTCTTAAAATGGTATCACACGGCCCAGATTTATTAATAAAGAAACCAAATTACATCAAACATTCTATAAAAAAAACATAAAACAACAAAAAGGAGGAAAATAAACTAATCACCAAAAAGCTCCTGCTATCTAAAGCTTCAAGTTAACAAGTGCTATCTTCCCCAATCAAAGAACTTCCAGCTCCAAAGAATCAAATACTAATTCCAACTTGGAGGGCAAATACCTTTTAAGTATGTTGAGATTTCAAATAATTAATCAAGGTAAACTTCCCTTTCATTCGAAGGTAATCCAGTTCACAAGAATTTAACCACCTGTAGCGCCTGCAACTGTTTTATCAGGGCTCCTGATGTAACTATAAATAGGATGAACATACCCATATGCCATTACGACAATTCCAACTAGGAGATCTTTTGATTGTTTATAAAAATATCATATCCTTATTTTGAAATGTGATGCAGAAGAGCCCACTGAAAACAACAATATTAAAACTAGTACATGCACACTAGGAGCACATGACAACGGATCAACAAGATTTAAAGGAAGAGCTTTGTCAAAAATCATATCAGAAACATTCTTTAAAGATCAAATATCATGTCTTGATTGTGAAGAGCATATATCAATTTCATCATATTAAGTTTAAATTATTCTGGAAAAGATGTGCCTAGGAGCAAAATCGAATGAGAATGAGTTATGATAAAAGCCTGCAAGAAAACACCGACCAACATTGACGAAATAAAAATGGCCACACAGAGATAAAATTTCTACTATATTTGAGATATATACATGTTACGATATATGTACACCTCAAATATTCTTATTGAAGAAGAATTGGCTTGACAAGCTTGGAGTGTTCATTCTTTCAATGGGTGTTTATATATAAAACTATATAGAAAAAAAGAAAATAAATAATTACAATAAAAATCAATTTTTAGTTATCCATAGCTTGTTTATTAAAAAATAGTAGATTGATGCCAAGGGAGTAATTCATGGGCTCTTTCTTTCCTTTACTATATATGAATCCGTTAGAGAAGTATTTCCTTATAAACAATAAATATGTGGCATTTAATTTTATTTATCTATCGCTCTTCTTGATCCGACAACCATTCAACAATTCTCTTTTTTTTTTTCTTTGGACCAGGTAGTGGGATTAAGGCTTTGTTGTTGTTTTTGTTGTTGTTGTTGGTCTCGCAAAGAGATTGAAGTCCACTAATCATCAAAACTTTGCAATACCCTTTGCAAAGAGATAAAATTACCTAACTTGCAAAGAGATAAATCATGATCAATCATACTAGTCCCCATAGGAATTTTCCATGAAGCCAAACTTTGTGCAACACTACCACAAAGGTCTGCTTGGGACATCTGATAAGAGGCAATCTAAAGCATCTAAACAAGCTCATTGGATGGCATAGCCTTCTAAACCTCCATTGTTTGTTGGATGGGCCAATTAAGATATCATAAGATGATGAAACCATACAATCTAGGTTGGGTTAACCATTCGTAACCATCTATTACCTTCATTTACATACCCTAGCATCCAACCATGAAATCATATTGTAGTGATATATCCATAATGGAGAGTATTCTTAACCTTAAGTCCAATATATAATCAACTATAAGAGCTTGCACTCTTAAAAAACTTTGATTCCCAAAAATTATAACCAACCTTGGCCAAAATCATTAGCTAAATATGAAAAATTTTTGGGGCTTATCCTAGTCTAACTTTGAAAATCAATCTGCTGTGCATTAATTTCCCAAAACTAAAAAATGGTGAGAAGTAAAAAGTATCATGCCGCAAAGTTCATAGGTGTCTTACAGAGCCCACATATCATAACTTTTAGAGGTAACTGACCTCCTGACATGACATGCAATTCTCATTTTTTCAATAGAACATTTTCACTCTTAAACACAAAGTTGATGTAGAGAGAAGAGCTATTCATAGTTGGAGAGTGAAAAGGTGGTCAGGTTTGACAAGGTAATCTCAACTATCCCCATTCCCAACCTGGACTTTGATATAGGAGCGGATATCTATTTCGAAGTACTCTCCTTTGTATCCTAGATTCTTTGTTACATAAATTTCTCATCGAGGGCTTACAACCCAAATGGGTCATGTCATATGAGAAAACCAATTTATGGTCGATGAATATTACTTTCAGCATAGTCTGAAGTGCGGTGTGGCTCTTGTGATTAACTAATGTCATATCTGCCAGTTAACAAAAACTAAGAATCACAACATTTGTCTGCATACTTCCCTTTCTATCCCAAAATAACTTGAAAATGTTGAGTACTAAATTCATCCTCAATCTGCCTCATATGGCGTGAGGGCATGACTTGGTCTTTTGTGGTAGTGAATCACATCTCAAAGAATATGGACAATATCCCCTACAACAAAATCTCCAATGCATCTCACATTACCACTCTGCTCTTTAGCATAGTTTTTCACAATATGGTCTACCAAAAATTATAGTTTTTGAATGAGAAGTTAAAGTTATAGGCCATCTTTTGAACATATCATTTTGAAATTAAAAACCAAACCACTAATTTCTACCTCATATCACCCTCATACTAAAAGTCAAAACACATGTAGCAAAAATACTTCCAAGTAAGCTTCTAAAATGTTTAGTGAATGACAAAACAACCCATTAGAATGACATTTTAGCCTCTACCGAGTTTACCTATAATAGTTTTATTAATCAATAAACTATAATGAGTCCTCTTCATTCACTTACAAGATATGAGCCTTGCAAGCTACTAGACTTAAAAAACATACTCATTTCATTTATGAATGGTAAGTTTGCATCATCCTTTGTCCAGAGCATGCATGGGCATCAAAAAAATATTCAAAAGAATCTGTCAATAACTAATAGGCAATACAAGTTTGATGCTAACTTACA